AACATGCCACCTGCTTTTCCTGCTGTTACTGCTGCATTGTTCTTCTAGCAAGCATTTGAGCTCTTGCAGATTGGAAAAAACAATTCAAACCAATTCATATGGTCTTCCAGCAGTCATGATCATCAGTGAATTTATATCCATTACGCTAGCAAACTTCAAAATGCAGAAATTTATGGAGAACCCACAATCCTCCGCATTATCTGCTCAGTAAGTAGTTACTTAGTAAGTAGTTCTCAGTAAGTAGTTAGGGACGCAGGTGGTGCTGTGCTCTACACCACTGAGCCTAGGGCTTGCCGATTGGAAGGTCAGTCCCGTTGCTTGGTCCCAGCTCCTGCCAACCTAGCAGTTCAAAAGCATGTCAAAGTGCAAGTAGATAATAGGTAACACTCCGGCAGGAAGGTAAATGGCATTTCCATGTGCTGCTCTGGTTTCGCCAGAAGCAGCTTAGTCATGCTGGCCACATGACCCGCAAAAACTGTCTGTGGACAAACGCCAGTTCCCTCGGCCAGTAAAGCGAGATAAGCGCTGCAACCCAGAGTCGTTCACGACTGGACTTAACTGTCAGGGGTCCTTTATCTTTACCTTTTTAAGTAGTTACTTATTGATTGGGAAATTTTCTGTTGGGTCCACTGATTATTCATGACTTGATGAAATAAACAACTGCATCGGCTTCTGTCTTCGGTTCTCCTGTCAGCCTTCACAGGGCACATTCAGATTTTTGTCCCACCACTTGAGTTAGCAGAAATAAACATCATCAGTCTAAGGAACCATATGCAACCTAATCAAATCCCTCTACACCACAAGGTAAACAATATTTTTCAGAGTTGTCTTTCAGGTAGGATATTCATTCTTGTGAAAAGAGTTAAGAAGTACATATTCATAGTCCTTTAATACAAATTTGGACTTGCTTGAAATGCTATTCTACTCCCCCCCCCCCCGCAGTTAATTGTGGTGTTTCTGTATTGCTACACGGAAGTGGAACTACCTACAACTTGATATTCACACCCCAAACATGCATCAGCTTTTAGCCTGACAGGGCAAATCTACGCATACCTACTCAAAGTAATCACCACTGAGCTTAGTGGTGTTTACTCCCAGGTAAGTGGCTGCAGCCATATTGCAGCTTAAATCAGATTTGTGTGAAAGGCAGTTCCACAGAGCCCAATGGGATGCTTCCTCTCAAATATTTGGGATCAAGGAGAGCTTTCCTTAACACATGTTTACATGAGAATAAGCAATTTCCAACTTCCGGAGGCGGCGCCATCGGCAATGGCGGAATTCCTCTAGCTTTGAGGGACATAGCTCCGTGGAAATCGGGTCTTGCCGCGACGGCGAAGCGGGGACCCTTTTGAAACCACAGGCGGGTGAAGCCTGTGACCGTGGGACTCGGCGGGCACCTTCAGCGCCCCCCCAATTTGCAAAGGATTGCTAAGGACTTAAACCTATTTAAAGACAATTATGAGAAATGTTGGTCAGAAGTGAAAAAAGACCTAGAAATATGGTCAAATTTGAAGCTTTCCTTGTTGGATCGAATTGCTGGATCGAATCATCTTTATAAGATGAATGTATTGCCAAGAATGTTATTTTTGTTTCAATCATTGCAAATTTTGGATAAAATGGATTGTTTCAAGAAGTGGCAGAGAGACATTTCTAGATTTGTCTGGCAGGGCAAGAAGCCCAGAATAAAATTTAAAATACTAACTGATGCAAAGGAAAGAGGTGGATTTGCCCTGCCAGACTTTAAACTTTATTATGAATCAGCAGCATTCTGCTGGTTGAAAGAATGGCTGCTTCTTGAGAACACAGACATTTTGGATTTGGAAGGTTTTAATAATGTTTTTGGGTGGCATGCATATTTGTGGTATGACAAGGTCAAAGCACACAAGGCATTTAAAAACCATATTGTCAGGAAAGCATTGTTTAATGTCTGGATAAGATATAAAGACTTACTTGAAAATAAAACCCCAAGGTGGTTGTCACCGATGGAAGCAAAGGCTCAGAAAAAGCTCAATATGGAGGCCAAATGGCCGAAATACTGGGAAATTTTGGAACAAGAAGGAGACAAATTGAAATTGCAGAGTTTTGAGAAATTAAAAGATAAAGTGCGAGACTGGCTTCACTATTACCAAATAAGGGAGGCTTACAATTTGGACAAAAAAATTGGCTTCCTGGTGGAAAAATCAAAATTGGAAACAGAACTGTTAGATCCCAAAACAAAGATACTTTCAAGAATGTATAACTTGCTGTTAAAATGGAACACCCAGGATGAAACGGTGAAATCTGCTATGATTAAATGGGCACAAGATGTTGGACATAACATTATGTTTGCTGACTGGGAACAGTTGTGGACCACAGGTATGAAATTTACGGCATGTAATGCCCTAAGAGAGAATATTATGAAAATGATATACAGGTGGTACATGACACCAGTCAAGCTTGAAAAAAATCTATCATTTGCCCGATAATAAATGTTGGAAATGTAAAGAAAATGAAGGTACATTCTTTCACCTTTGGTGGACGTGCCCAAAGATTAAGGCTTTCTGGGAGATGATCTATAATGAAATGAAAAAGGTATTTAAATATACCTTCCTGAAGAAACCAGAGGCCTTTCTCCCGGGCATAGTCGGCCAATTGGTGCCAAAGAAGGATAGAACTTTCTTTATGTATGCTACAACAGCAGCAAGAATACTCATTGCAAAGTATTGGAAGACACAAGAACTTCCCACGCTGGAGGAATGGCAGATGAAACTGATGGACTATATGGAACTGGCGGAAATGACTGGCAGAATCCGTGACCAGGGAGAGGAGTTGGTGGAGGAAGATTGGAAGAAACTCAAAGATTATCTTCAGAAACACTGCAAAATTAAAGAATGTTAGAGTGATGTTGGATCGAAAATAAGTGGTTTCCAGCTGTACAGGTTAAAGTTATTGATAGACTAAGATTAAAGATTAGGATTAAAGATGTTTAAGGAAATGGAAATTTGGTACTTAAGAGGTAAAATTTTAATGTTATATTACATTAAGATTAAAGATTAGGATTAAAGAAGTTTAAGTGTTATATATTATATTAAGATTAAAGATTGGGATTAAAAAAGTGGAAAAGAAATTGCCGGACAAACAATTTGGACTGGAATACAAAAGAGGGAGGTATGAGGAAGTCCAGAAAATAAGTAAATTCAAAAACGGAAATGGAAAAGTGATATTGTTTTTAATTATTCTGTGTGTTTTTTTTGTTTCTTCTGTATTTTGTTTTCTGTGTTTTCCTTTTCTTTTTGGATTATGTATTGTGTATTTTTGTACTTCTAATTTTATGTTTTTCTGTTTAACTTTTTATTGAAACCTTAATAAAAATCATTAAAAAAAAAAAAAGGAGAGGCTCTGAACTCTTGGGTAGTTAGAAAGACAAATATAGTGATGAGTGTTGAGAAATTGGACCGGGATTCTTTCTTCAAAAAGCTGAACTGTATTCTTTTATCTTCCTGCATACAAATCAGTATTTCACTTTTAAAAATCCAAACTTAGTTCACAGAGCTCTTGGAGAGCATGACATATAAGACCCAAATCAAGAATAAAGTCACATGCTGTTATTTTCCTTAAAAGACACCCATAAAGACAGTGACCCATTTTGCTGCTTCTGCTGGGAGGGCATTCCACAGGGCAGGCACCACTACAAAGAATGCTTTCGGCCTGGTTCCCTGTAACTTCACTTTGCAGTGAGGGAAATGCCAGAAGGCCTTCCGAGATGGACCTCAGTGTCCACGGTGAATGATGCAGGTGGAGACACTCCTTCCGGGATGCAGGTCTTGAAACCCTCCAATAGTGTTGAATTGTCTTCTTCTAAAATTGCCTAAAGCTGTTGATCTTTGAATTTGCATTCCCCTGTTCCCAAAGGCTCATTGTTTGTTGTGAATTTGGAAACATTTGATTTTGAGGAGAGATATGTGCCTGAGAATGTTCAATAGTTTTATATTAACTTTGTAGGCAGGGTATAGCCGCAATAAGCACTGTATCTTCCCTTCCCACATATTATTCTGAGACCTACACAGACTGCACTGGAAGTTATAGACAGCTTTTTCTAGGGGAAGGGTTTTGGTCTAAAATTTATGTTCCCCTCTCTTTTGGAGTTGCACATTTACCACACTAAGCTCCCCTTGAAAAAGAGGAGAGATGGTCTCTCCCATTATGGAGGCCTGTGGGTAACCATGTGAGGGCATTTGGCCCTATAGGGGGAAGTGGAGACCAGGACATTTAAGCTTCTTCCACCCCACACTCTCCCCTCTTTTCTTTGAGACACCCATCCTCCCACCCTTTGTAGTGTGAGCCTTTATAGGGGGACTGAGTAAGAACCTATTTTTGGAGGGGTGACACTAATTGGACCATGCATTCTCCTTTTTGTCTCTTTCACACTCTTGGGTGTTATCTGTGTTCAGGTAGCATATTGCAAGCCTTGTGCATTGCTCCCAACAGGAACATGAGCCAATTTCCTGATGAAAACCACCCCCCAACCCCCAACCCAAGCTGTGTTTTACAGAACAAAAAACTATTTTAAAAAAAGAATATCTGATCAGAGACAGTGTCTATTATGTTCATAATTTTAAATATTCCGGTTCTTGTGGGGAAAAACGTGTTTTGTTATGCAGGAGTTCGTTAAAGATTTGCCTAATTCACTCTGAAAAGAACAAGCTTCTCTGATGTCCTGCTTTCACTCGTAAAGAGCTTCTGAGCTCTTCATAGGCAGAACGTAGGCACAGAGACACACATTTTGCTTTTGATAGAATGAACTTTATTGAGAGAATAGCCATTGAGAGAAAGCAACAGAATGCGTAGTTAGAAGCCTGGTGTCATTGTCCTTAGAGCCACAGCTCCCAGGGTCCCCTGAAAAGGGCAAATGACTGTTAAACTGGGGAAATTCAATGATGTGGTTGCGTTGCAGGGAGAAATGGCCAAAGAAGCATTCTGGCTTCAATGGGCAGAGTGTGGCTTGCGTGGTTTTCTGCCTATCACAGCACCTTCTCCAGGTGAACGGGCTTCTTGTTTTCGCAGGTCACACGAACGCGTTTGGAGGTGTCTGTGCCTTTGTATTTGCAGTCCTTAGGAGGTTTACCATCGGTGTAGCTGCAGTCAATCATGGGGAAGTTCTCGTTAATGTCATAGAAATTATCTTGCCAACGCGTCCCACCATTGCCGCAGACCTGTAGGACAGACTCCTTGTCATAGTTGATGAAAGTATTCCTCGGTTTGCATCTACTTGGGTTCATATTCCTCTTCACCATCATGAGGTTGCAGTAGGCACTGGGGTTGGAGGCTCGGGTCTGGGGATAATCAATGTGCTTGTTTTGAAAAGCTTCCCAAGACTGGCCTTCGCAGGACTGCACCAGGAGGACACTGAGAAGGATGGCCAGACGAACCAGCAGGCAGCCAGAGACCAGCATGGCGCCCTGTCGCTTTCCAGGCTTCAGGAAGCTATCCGCAAGCCTTCGGAGCGTGGCGGGAGTGCCCGCCAGGCTCCCAAGGCTTGCGGACAGCAGCCTGCAGCCCGAAGCCCGAAGCAACTGTGTTGAAAAATTCAAAGAGAGTCAAATTTCAAAGGGTGGCTGTCATATTGTTTCAGATAGTGCAAATTCAGTAAGTTTGCCTTTAAATGGAAACTGAACTGAATTTCTCCCCAACCCCAACCCCAACTCCAGCTTACCCAGGTGCAGTTCTGTTGAAGTGATGGATTCCTCTTTCTACAACTCTGTCTCCCAAGTTGGCTGCCTTAATTCTTATACGGAGCTTAGTCAGGTCAGAGAAAGGAGGTCAGGGAACGGAGCTTAGTCAGGTCAGGTCAGGGAAAGGAGGAAGGAATTTCAGCCTTTTAGACATATATAGAGTACAGATTAAGAAAGAAAGGATGTACTGTATTTTTTGCCCCATAGGACGCACCGCCCCATAGGACGCACCTAGTTTATTGGGGGGGGGGAATAAACAAAAAAATTTATTCCCCCCCCCAGGCGCGGGGCTGGGGCGGGGGAAGCCCAAGCTTCCGCCGACCCCAGCCCCCAGAACAGGCAGCTCTGGCAGCTTGCGGGGCTGGGGGAGGGGGAAGCCCAAGCTCCCCCCTCCCCCAGCCCCCAGAACGGAGCCCGGGAAGGCAGGCAGCTCTGCGCGACCCTCCGGAGGCCGGCGTGGCTTCGCGCCGGGCTCTGGAGGGTTGTGCAGAGCTTCCTGAAGGCTGGAGAGCGAGAGCCTCTCGCTCTCCAGACTTCAGCAAAAGCCTGTATTCGCCCCATAGAACGCACCCACATTTCCCCTTCATTTTTTTGGGGGGGGGGAAGTGCATCCTATAGGGTCAAAAATACGGTACTTCAAATACTCATAAAAACACATGATTTGGTTGCATGGATGTATTTGTGTGGAAGGTGATGGGAAAGTAAATATTCTAAATACAATAAAAAGACTTAACTCAAAGAACAGGTCTAGAATCAAAGAACAGGTCTACAATCTGGAGATACTGTAAAACCAAATCCAGGAGGGGCACTTCCTCCACCACTTTCTATTTTGAAACTGAAAGATCCCAGTGAAGTGGGGTGCTGACGCTGCTCCGGCACACCCTCACTTCAGGTAGTGCAAAGTTAGCCTGCAACAAAACTGGCCTGCATCCGTCAGAAATGGAGAGATTACCTTGGAATCTTTCCCAGAATCCTCTACCACATGCACGACTGAGTCATAGCAGATGAATCAATGTGGCAAGAATTCCATAAAACCGAAACTGTGGAAATCACTTGCGTTATTCATTTTTTTAAATTGGGGGTTGACGAGGTCTAGATTTTAGAAGAAAATGGGAAATGACTGAGGGGAGCTAAACACTTCCCCCCTCTTTGCCGCCTCATGCTATTTAACTTCCCCCTCCTTGGCTCAACTGGAATATAAGTAACTGTGGTGATGGAGGGTGGGGAGCTTAAACTGGGGAGTGTTCTACCTCTTCTTCTACTACTACACCCATGCCCTTGATTTCTTCTCCACAACGTCGCAACTCACAAACCCACATAGTATATGTATACTCACTTACGTGTGAAAACTGAATGGGACTTTGCTGGAAGAAGGATGTGGACAGATATGTGGGTATAGGGTATAATGCTAGTGAGAGCCCCCAAAACAAAATATAAATCAGTAGCCATAGAATCATAAGTAAGTTTGTGATTGCCTCCAACTTACCCAAGTTTCGTCCTGTGAGGTGATGGATATTGCTTTCTGAAGGGTCAGGTTTGTCTCTGAAGCTGCTGCTTCAATTCTTATATAGATCTTGGTGAGGTTGGGGTTGGGGCCGGGAAGGGGGAAGGATGAAAGTTCAGTCACTCGCCATATGTTGAGTAGATAGTGATAGGATAAATATGTTTCAATTTCCCTGGAATTCCCTTCAGTGTGGACTTAATTTATGTTGAGTAGATATTGATAGGATAAATATGTTTCAATTTCCCTGGAATTCCCTCCAGTGTGGACTTAATTTATGGTTATGACCACTATACAGTTATGTTTCTGACAATGGGTTGGAAAGCAAATACCCTAAATAAAAATAAGCACACATAATTAATATCAGATAATGCATCTGCCTTCTGGAGCTTAGTCCATATCTAGGCAGAGTACCTTGTTCGATATGTTTGATATTAAAATGAAAAGGGAACAGAGTGCACCTTTTGCTCAAGGGCACAGACTTTGCATTGTTGATACCCAACAAGAATCGCCAGTTTTCTTCAAAATGGAGTGTTTACACTGCTGAAGGGGGAACTGAGATTTCAATTTCTTTGCTGTCCATGCTCTTTTGCTTTAGGTTTTCCCCCTCCCTGGTTCAATTTCAGGATTTCCACGCTTGTTTTTTAGATATGCTATAAGCCATCCAGAGTGGCTGGGATGTTGTTATGATTGCGATTGTGATTATTATGGCTGGGAGAAAAGCTAAACAGGGGTCAGGGTGGGTTTCAGCTCCCATCACCCCCTTTCAGTTGACTCAGCTACTAGAGGATTGTGTAGATGGTCCCTGATATCGGCTACTAAAACTTTGTGACCGCTGTATTTTTAACACACACACCCCACACGTCTTTTGCATATAAAGTTTATTTCAGACTTTTCACAATACAATAAAAAGAAACTATTCAAAACAGAAAAGGATAAAAAGAAAAGAATGAAACAAAAGAAGAAAAAGAGCCAGATGAATATAATGTTCTCTCTCACATATATCCTAACTTTGAGCAATGAAATTTGTTTAAAAGATACGTTTGTGGTTCGAGGACCCGAACCCCGCACAGTGGAATGAAACACAAGGACACGTGATATAAGGTTAATGGGCAAGAAAAGGCCACAACTTTATTGATTACAGCAAGTGAAAAGGTATTGGCTTAGGCATTGGATTACGTCAGCTGACTCCACCCACTCGGAGAGGGGTGAGTCTAAAAAACAAAGGGGGTTTATTCACCAGTAGGTGGAGCCTGTTGATGCTAATCCAACTATAAGCTCTCCCCTGATGTCACCGAGGGTCGTGCCATGGCCTCCCGCAAAGCAGGCATCGGACAGAATACACGACCGCCGGATTCCTTTAACGGAATACCCAAAAATTGAAGGCGCAGGCGATGGCCACACCTAGCCCTTCGACACCACAACACATGCAGTAGCACATGCTCTCCATAGCATGTATTCATCAAGAGCCAAACAGAAAGTACTGGCTGAGAAACGGACGCAGCCAAAAGTTAAACGCTGGCAGGTACTGTCAACTAATCTCCCCAATGTTAGAAGCACAAGAGTTATTATTACTGATTCATATGGTGCACAGCTGAGCCCTGGCATGGAGGAGAGGCCTTGGGGATTTTCACTGCTGAGCTCTATCATTGGGAGGGACTTTATCTCAGTGAAAGGCCACATGCATTGCATGCTGCACATTCAAAGCTCTTGAAATTAATCCATCCCAGGATTCTCCTACTTGGGACTGTGCAAGGGCCAGGAGTGTCCTCTGGTATCAGAAATGGGTTGAAACCTCAGATGTATGCCATATAGAACTGTGGCAATTCAGAGCAGACAGTTCTGGGCTGCAGAGAACAATGGTTTGACTCAGCACAAGGCAGTTGCATATGTTAATGGAGGAGGTTTTTGAATTACCCAGAATCTATGCCAAGTTAAAAACATACCAAGTCATGTCTGCTAATATTGAAACTGGAAAGGCTTACAGCTCAATGGCAGAGCATCTGCTTTCATTCAAAAAGTCCCATGTTCAACCCCCAGCATCTCAAGATCATGCTGGGAAAGACTCTGAAACCCTATAGAGCCAATAACAATCAGTGACTGAGCTATATAGAGCAATGATTTCACTCACTGTAAGGCAGCTTTCAGTGTCCTATAACATATTGATGAATGGTAGTAAAAAGCCAAAGGTCCACTTGTCAAAGAGAAAAGAGAGAGTGTATTAGCCTACAAGGTCTGTGTCTTTTTTCCTCTTGCAATCTAGCTTCACTCGTTCCTGAAAAACATCCACTTCAACAACAGTGCTGGGGAAGAAATCTCTTTGGATGAGAAGGGGCAGCAGGCAGGTGGCTATGATCTCCTCAACTTGGTCGCATTTCCCAATGAGACCTTCCAGAGAGTCCGAGTGGGGAGGGTGGACCCTCAGGCCCCCCCAGGAAAAGAGTTCACAGTGGATGGAAGTGCCATCGCATGGAATCCCAAGTTCAAGAAGGTGGGTTTGGCCATTTCTTTGTTTTAATCATCATCCATCATCATTATCTTTTATGAGAAGATCAGGGGATCCAGAAAAACAGAAATGGCTACAAAGGAGAAGTGTGAGGAGAGAACCCCTGGTACTCACTGATGAAATACTGTTTTTGTTGCTTTGTTGATCCAGAGCTAGTCTGAAGCTAATTCAGAGAACAGGATTAAAGAACAAGGTCTTTCTGAGTGAGGAATTGGCAAGTGTTTAAAGCTCTTGAAAAGGGACTGTTGTGCTCTAAAATGCGTTGTTGCAGACAATCTCTGCCATTCGGAGCCCAGGTAGAAAGAAAATTATCCACCACCTGAAGTGTGTGGTCACTAATGTTGATGGATGGAGTGCTGGAGATATCCTGTCCCAGGATGTTGGTCTACATCAGGCTGAGCCAAAATGTGTGGGATGAAAGCATCCAAAATGCTAAGGAAAGTCCTGGTGCTCAGAAGGTTATAAAACCCTGTGCTGTCATATGTCTGAGGCAATTAACTGATGGATTGATTGAATTTATATACCGCTCAATACCCGGAAGTCTCAGGGATGTTCAGAGATTAAAACCGACATATAAAAAACACATTTTAAAAGGGCATAGTTATGTCAATTTGTACAGTTATGGCAAATATGAGCAGTCTAAACAGTTAGAGCAGCAGGAATGTTCTGTTCTCCTTCTGTCAGTCTGTAACAGTATTTATCTTAGATAAAAAT